TATAAATCGTATACAAAATGAAAACCTTGATTTTTAAACTTTAATAACTTTTTATATAAAATTATGAAAAATCTACAAAACTATAACTGAGCTAATAACTATGTATAGAATCTATATTCAAAATTTCATTTAATTAGATTCAATATTGATAGAATTGTGAATATTCGAAAATCACTGTTTTTGGTGTGAAAGGGTGGCCCGAAAGGGGGGGGGTGGCCCGAAAGTAGGGTAGTTGACTTATAGATAGTCAGATACTGTAATTCGAAAACATAACACAGAAGAACCCAAGAATCTATAAGGGATCCCATAAATCTACTTGGGTTGGTGAAAATAACCTTTATTGGCCCTGCCTTCGAGTGCTATATCCAATTGAGTTAATTGTCAATATTACACCTTCCATTCAATTCAGCCATTGATAGACAATTCCGATGTTTCCTAGCCTTCCATACATTTCCCCTACTGTTCATCTGAAGTATCAATGACAACCTCATTATATCGCATCACACTATATATAACTTACAAGCTCCAACCAGTATCTCTCCGTATAGTACTCATACTCCGTACCATATTATACAGCATACTCACTCAAACCAGTGGTCTAGACCCTCATCCATCCCATCCATCTCATCCCAAAAAACACCAATCCCCAATCGGGCAAAATAAACGATTCAGCCAATCGTACACCCCAGAGATCACCGAGCGAAATATATCGGATACTGAACACCGATACTGTACAGTGTACGTACATGAATTAATTCGTACTCTGTACTTCTTTTGATTACTGTACATGCAATCGCTAGATTCAAGATCCTGATCTGGAAAAAAAAAAGTATGGTTAGCGGGGTTGAGCTGAATTTCGCAATCATGCTGGTAGACATTGATTTATTTGTGTCTATGCCAAGATGTTTGGGAGTTCTTTTCGATAGATTGAAAAGGTTGATTGATTGATTGATTGATTGATTGATTGATTGATAGATGAAGAGAAGAGCCAGCTGAAAAAGTATTTCAGGGCCCTTTGAATGCTGCCTGATCACAGCTAAGTCATCTGAATGTTTTGAGAGGAGAGAGAAGGGAAGGTGGTTTCGTTTCATTCATATCCATTTCAACTGGATTTAGATCTCATCTTGAAGGAGTCGTCGCTGTTAAATTAATCAAGGTTATTAGACTGAAAGTATGAATAAGAATAGATTAGAATGTGAGATACTAAAACATACGGCCATCCATCTATATTTAAAGCATTATCAATATAGATGGCTTCAATATAACTCGTTCTCAACTTGATGACTTACTCAACTCCTGTGAATATCATCGTCTATTTCATATTAAAGAAGGGTCTCTCCAATCCTAGCAATGAGCCATAAAGAACAAACTTACGGATTAATATAGGTGGTCCCCGAAGCTTAAAGACGCCAATCAATTAGACCCCTGGTCGATGCCATCCCTAAATCCAGATTGGCCTTTTCAAATGATCCCAATCCGACAAGTTTCATCACAATTTCCATGGAGATACTTTTCCTTCTTGATGTTTTCTAGACAGGAACATATCAGATACAAATAGGCATTGTACAAACGAATACCAGTACCATCTTTAAATACAAAACGAAAGCAGAAGGAAGATGTAATGATAACTTCAGTTCCAGATGAGAGCGAGCGATGAACAGAACACGAACACGAAGCTATCCTAATGAAGTACAATAATCGGATATTTTCTTTTTGTCGCTCACCACACATGTCTTTGACAACCAAACCCAGGTTGTCTTAGCTGATGATACAGTATAATTTCTGTAATAATTCCATCCCAATAAACCATCTGAAAGCGCCACATATACCTCTCATTCGTCCGAGAAGCGCTTGGGAAAATGATAAAATGATAGAATCGACACGACATCACCCCCCAAAAGTGACAGAAAACCTTTCCAAGATGATCGCAATCAAGGGACCTGTAGACCTGTAGAGACAGACCTATAGACCTGGAGGCTATTCAACCTTTCATATTTGATAGAATATGTATGTATTTGAAAGTGTATGTTTATGTTACATACTCGTACATCCATCGGTAAAGCGTACAGTGCCCCTGGTCTTGTAGCTAGCTAGCTGCAGACATTCCATTTTCTCGAGTCCGATGGGCCATCATGCCCAGCCAGATCTTTTCCCATTCTCCGAATGTAATACAGGATGAAGCAGGTTAACCTGGTAAAGCAAGCAACGCAAAGCAAGCAAGAAGCACAAAGGGAAATTCGTGTACAACGTGATAACAGGAATAGGTAGGAGAAATATAAATATTACGGACATGTAGGGTCTGATCTATTGGGTTCTTTGTGTACCCAAGCAAGCTTATTCCTTTTTTTTTCGATACTTTTTTTATAGGATAGGTTCACTAGATACCTAGGTAGGTAACTAATATGATTAATATGTATAGTAATCATTTATTTCGAATAAAATCTTCCCCCAGTATTTCGTATAATATAATATCCATTCCTTAAAGAAGATAGGTAACTAGTAGGTAGTTATCCATCCCACAATTGGCAGCAGCCAAAGCTCTGGGAAACCTTAATAATAATTCTGGTATCTAAATCCTCCCTCCAAGCACCGTTCAATTCGACCCACTGACCCAAACGTTGTCCTGTCCCGCATTTTCCTCTCCTTCCAAAAGTCAAAGTCGTACATTTATTCTTTTCCTTAAACCTTGGCCTCAAGCCACCTAAGCTAAATTGTTCAGCCCGAACGCCTTTGGGACACTCGCATACGCCGAGAAATAGTACTAGGGGGGGGATCCTGGTAAGTGAGCATGGGAATGGCGTGTGAGCGAAACTCGATAAGAATATCCTGGTCAAAGTGTAATATTTTCTTATGCGAGGCCATATGGATCTGGGCCGATGTGTGTGTGGGGGGGGGGATTGGTTATTATTAAGGATGGATGAATGGATGGATGGATTCGAAGATGATTATGGGAAGTCGTTGAATGAAAGGCTGGTAGGTAGGTAGGTGATCGAGCATATACGATGTCTATATATAATACTGTCCGTCGCTGTTGTATTATCTATATCTATCCCGTCTTTTTTATCATATATTTTCAGAAATGGGAGAATCGATCAAAAGCAATGCGATGCACAATGATAATCATCGCATAGATACATACTTTCCCGTTTTGACAGTATACGATTGTCATACAACTAACTAAACCTTACTATACTAAAGGAGGAATAAGAAAGTAGGATTGAATCATTCGAATATCCTGGATCGGAATATCCAATCTTCTAAGCACTCTAAATTTACTCAGCAGTCTTCAATCCAAGTATTAAACAGAGAAACGAATCCAAGATGAGATCTATAATTGAATATATATCTCTCTCAAATAATACAAGAAAGAAACTCTTTCAATCTCATCTTGAATCCAGCTTGTCTATTCGTTCGATATATTACTCTTTTATTACATCCGGATATATATTTACAGACATCGCATCGGATATCTCTACAAGACCAATATCGAAATTCGCGTCTCGATATCCATTAGCACAACCGAGACCTAAAACTAATACATATATACAAATTTATTACACAAAAACCATACTAGTTATATCAAATAATCGTTCTATCGTAAACTAATCGTATTATCCCACTATCTAAGTAATCAAAATATCTCAATATCAAATCAATAATACACTATACTAGAACGGACATCTAAATATTCTCCGGACTATCCTACATGGAGAAACAATAAACCTCAAGACCCTTGAAGCTTCTAATAAATACACTAACCTACTCTACTTACTCAAATCAAACCCCAACAATCTAAAAGCTAAAACCCAGACCCCTACCACTTCCCTCGCTCAATTAATCAATCGACACGCTCCGTACCAGTCGCAGCAGTCGCAGTGACAGTACCCCATGGCTTTTTTCACTCTAGTACTACTACTACTAGCTCGGAGGTACCCATCCCATCACACTAAAATTTAATCTAATCGCCCCAGACCTCGTAACTTTCTCTTTTTTATTTGGGTATTTGTATGCAACACAGCTGGGAGTTGCTAGCCTTATACTAATCCCCCTGACCATTCATTACCAGCTCAATATCTCGCATCTAGCATCTAGCATCTAGAACCTAGCCAGAATTCCATACCTTTGCTTGTACTGTTATTCACATTATTTATTTGGATATATTTGTCAAATTCATCTATTCCTATTTCACTAGTATCAACTCGATCTACCTATTTATATATTCACCTAATCAAATTCAATCAACTACCAAAACATATCTACCTATCTACCGTGCTTAACCCATATTTAAACTATACCCCATCCATCGACCACGAGGCGAGCCCAGAAACCCAGAAACCCAAAATCTCCAAAACATTAAAAGCCCTGCTTTCACCCCTCCAGCTCCGATCAAAAAGACCCAGAACCAGACGCATCTGCACCCACGCATTCACACATCCATCTCATCCACATCCACACACCACACACCCACCACTACCCTTCAAAAGCACAGACCAACATTTCTCCCAAACCCAATAACCTACATAAATCAAGCAGACGCCTCCCCGGCCGCCATCCAGGTGATCGACACTCCACATTCTCCATTCCAGCAACTTAAACAACTACCAACTGTACGAACCTGCCCACCACCCGTTCTTTGCCATATCATATCTTCAAAAATCTAAAAGATTCATTCCTAAGATATCAAAGAAAGAAGATTGTACTTTTGGTTTTGAACAATCTTTTGATATTTCTTTGCTTAATCTTTCAATACCACTACTTCTATCACAACCACAATCACAAGCAAAGAATAGTTCGGAAGAAGGAAATTATCCTTCGTTCCCTCTTCTTCCCTCGCCTCGGTTGTGCATCTACCCGCATCTTCAATCTCAATCCGAACCAAATACTTTTCCACGCGACAAGCCACGGATATTCTTGAATTTTCTGACCGGAAACAAAAAAAAAAGAAACTTCTTCTTTCAAATCTTTTATCGGGGTCTTACCAATAATTTTCCTCGATCACCATGGAGACCGCACAGAGTTTCACAGCTCGCCGGCCCGCCGCATCCAATTTACCAAACTTCCAGCTACCCCCTCCAGAACCCCTTGGAATGCACCATCACAAATATCAAAAACAATCTAACAACTATTTTCATGGAACTTCAAACAGTTCTTCACAACCAGTTCCCGCCATCGCGAATAACATATTAACGCCTCCAGCCGGTATTTCACATGACGGTCTAAGTCCGCTCGCATCTAGCGTCAATAGTGGTAGTTCTGGTAGTTCGGCCGCCGGCATACCTCCATACCAATCTTCGACTTTCTGGCCAACTCCCCAGTCTGGAAACAATTTCACGTTTAGCTCTGCGCCGCCGATGAATGTGCCTTATGCTCAGCAACAGAATTATATGAGTAGATCTTTATATTCGCCCACTATGAATAACTATCCCAGCCCACGAAATCTCAATTCTCCCACTTCCTCAGAAGGTCTCCCACCACCTTCATATGAAAGCCTCCCTCCATTCACCACCCCAATCCCGATGTCTGGTGCAGATGGACAACAAAATCTCCCCACGCTCGCACCCCACAATTCTCAGCAGCAACAGCAGCAACAAATGAACAACCACAACCTCATGAGCCTTCAACAATCTTCCTCTCAAGGACCACAGCAAGGAAACGTACAAGCCCCAGACAATTACGTCGGGCGAGGTCCCCCAACTCCAAATTACTACCCCCCATCTTCCACCCCTCAACAGTCGTCTTTTCCCGCCTACGCTCAACATTCACCTACGCAACAATCCCCCAATACCTCCTCCGGCCCCTCCAACCGAATTTCCCCTATCCAGACCCACCACACGCATTCCTCCATGGGTGCACCCCAAGGTTACCCCTCCCGCCCCTCCTACCCACATTACAACCTCCCCACCTTAACCGCACCCATCATGTCCAACGTCCATCAGCCTGGCAGTCAAATGGCTCTCCTCGGTGGGTTGAATATGTCCTATTCCCAACAAATGCCCGGACCAATGTACGGCGCACATCATCCTCAACAAATGCCCCAAAACGATCGACCATTCAAATGCGATGAGTGTCCTCAAGCTTTCAGTCGTAACCACGATTTGAAACGCCACAAGCGTATTCATTTACCCGAGAAACCTTTCCCATGCGGTCATTGCCCTAAGACTTTTTCCAGAAAGGATGCGTTGAAGGTTTGTCCCACATCCCATTCTTTATCTTTGGTCTCCAAACTAACCCCAAATTCAGAGACACATACTCGTCAAAAACTGCGGGCCAAAGTCCATAAAAAGCGCCACGCATCCTAATGGAGATTCCCAATCCTCTGTTGACAAATCGGAAATTTTGAGCGATTCTACCAACGACGGTAGCCCGGAGGTGTCAAAGAAGGAATTGTCATTGTGACAATCTAGCCTACATCCTTTGACGAATTTTCTTTATTTTTTCCCCCGTTGAAGCTCAAGGTTCAACGAGGTGGCAAGCATATAATATACATGCAAATCGATGTGTAAGCTTCAGTGAATGGGTGGGTGCGTGGGTGGGTGCGTGGGTGGATAGATGGATGGATGGATGGGCATTCATATGGGAGCCTTGTGTAAACGATACGGGCGTTCGGAATCTATCTATCTGAATTGTATGGGACAGGACGGTTTGGGGTAGGGTGGGATATAACTTACAATGTATGGGCGGTCAGACATGTTCTTAAGGAAGGGACAGCACAGAACTCAAGAAACATGAGGCTTGCATTGGTAACATTACTATGCGATTCAACTATGCTTATGAAGGCTGGCTAGCATACAGACGGATCATTGTCCGTCTTTTTTTTTTTTTTCTAAAAAAAAAACCAAAACTTTTTCAATATGGGCTGGCTGGCTGGGTGTGGAAGTATCGTATTGGAGAGGGATTCTTTCGGAGTTGGGGAGTCAGTCGATCGTGTGGACGTCGGTATGTCGGTATGACATTTCGTTTTGGGCGGCATGTTATGTTATGGGATGGGATGGGATGGTAATGAATGGGAATACAGCTCAAATGGGAAAGGAAATGCGTTTGCATGCGAAATATGAATCGAATTGGGATATGGGTGGAACTTTGGCGTGGGAATCTATTGGGTTGATGAGGGTTTGGCAGACGGACATGGTTTGTTTGTTTGCTTGTATGTCTATCTTTTGTATGGAATGGAAGGAGTGAAAAGCCTTTTTTTTTCTTTTTTTTTCTTTTGTGTTTTCTTCACTCTTTGTTTCTCCTCGCATTGGTATGCAATGCAATGTAATGCAATGCGATATTCGATATTCGATGTTGGGGATAGGGGTATGGGTATAGGTATGGGTATGGAGGTTGGCTTGTGGAGTGGATGGCATCTTGATTGCTTGATTGATTGCTTGCTTGCTTGATTACCTGCGCTCATCTACTCGAGTACATGGTCGTGAATCTCTCTCATCAATGTTTTCTATCATATCATATCATATCATATTAGCGAGGGAGGTGGATAGTTATGTCAAGCGGGGATGGAATGGAGGTGAACGGTACACTATATGCCAGTGAAGAGGGGTTTCCTGGAGCAATCTAGTTAGCTAATGATATCATATTTTGACATTTGTGCATTTGACATCTGTGCTATTTGTGATGTTTGTGCTGTTTTGTCATTATAGTTATATGCAAGAGGAGAGATGAGGAAATCTGGCTTTTGTGAAAATCGAATGGAATCTTTGATGTGATGTAATGAGGATAGGATGGGATAGGATAGGATAGGATAGGATACCTCCTAGTCTTGTTTTGTTGATGACATATTCGAGTACAGTATGATAAGTTTGAGTAGAGTAGAGCAGAGATGGCTGTTAGAATTGATATATATATATATATACTCGAGTATGTGTGTATATATAGTGAGTGAGTGTTTATATAATGAATGATGTGATTTGGGAATATTTATTGAGTTCTCTTGGGTTTCTTTTTTCTTTATTATTCTATTATAATATACTGTGACTGGCTATTAGTATGAGTATGAGTATAAATATGACTTTTTCTCTCTTTTTCTTTAAATAGATTAATATTAGAGAAAGAAAGAAAGAAGTTGATTTGAAGAAATTAGTAATTAGAGTTCCTGGGATATAAATCGACGCTTGTAAATTATAAATTGTACTTGTAATATAAAAATAAGAATTTAAAAGAAAGAAAGAGATGAAATTTTCTTTTTGATTTTTGAATTATTTCTATCGATATCGATATCGCTATTATAAAACTATACTCGAGTATATATATATATATTATATTCTAAATATGTTTTCCGCCGATTAGTCTTTATAGACGGAAATATATAGCGATTATATTTTATTAATTACATTACTTGTGAGTGATAGATTGATT